GCAATTTTTGGCGCGCTACCAGGAGCTGGTGCAGACAGTGCCACGAGCGGAGCACTACGCAGCGCTCAAAGCAGTAGAAGTTGCGCAACAGCCTGCTATCATAGTGTCCGATCACCTGAATCTGGTGCGTGAAGGGTGCGCCTGGTCGGCGGCCGCTGCCTCTTCTAGTGGCCGCCACGCGGCTGTGTGGGAGAAAATACGTCGGCACTGTCCCGAGGCTCCTCCTACTTTCGAGTGGGTCCCTGCGCACAGAGAGCTCTCGGAGGTTCTGGAGGCCCCCGAGTGTGACTTTGTCCGTTTCGTTGCTAACGAGTGGGCTGACTTCTTTGCCAAGCGCGGGGCCCAGGTGCATTCAACGGGCCAGACCATGCAGGATTATTTTAAGCAGGCCATGAAGGCGGCCAAAGATCACTCGCAAGTTTTTGCCTGGATGGCCCAAGCGGTCGCCAAAAAGAATGCTGAGCTCCAACCTAGGGAAGTCGTGCCGTCTCAGGTTTGCCGAGACGTCGCCGCCCCACAGGTTGTGATTGACTCGCATGAGTTTCGTTTCTGTGAGAGGCTGTCTGAACACAGGTGCCTGAAGTGCAACAGGTTTGCTAGGACGACCGAATCCTTGAAGGCCCTTCGAGCGAAGCGATGCGAGCCCACGGACCTTGCGAGAGCGATGGCAACGCGTTATTTTGCCCTCACCCCCGAAGTTTATCGGCACGCCTCGCGCGCGGTGGACGTCGCCGTGCGTGCTGCTGGCCTTGATGAAGGCCTAGGGCCCTCTGGAGGCCCATGCGAGGGTGGTGGAGTGGGGGCTGACGTCGTCGCCGTCGGGGTCGACCGGGAGGTGGAATTGTACTCGGAGCTCGGCCACGGGATGGAGCGATTTGGCTCCACGGTCATCTGCCTCGGTTGCGGGGCGTTTAGTGTGGCTGGAGGCCGCAATCGGAAGCTGCGTGCCCAGTGCAGAGGCCATTCGGACGTAGTCTCTACGCGTGCGAACGAGGAGATGCAGATCTCACGTGCGATGCGCGGGCTGCACCCCAGGTCGGGGGACCCTTGCCCATGACGACCTCGACGCCAGGTCCCCTCTGTCGGCTTTCCGACGTGGTGGGGACGGTGCTGTCGAGGTCAAGCCGCGCGGTGCGATGGTTCGACGCCTCGCCGTGCGGCTCATCAATTTCTTCCCGCTGATGCGGGTCCGTACGCTCGGACTCGCCCTTCATCGCTCGCTACCTCCTCCTCCTCCTCCTCCTCCTCCTCCTCCTCCTCCCTCCTCCTCATCTTCCTCCTCATCCTCCTCCTCCTCCTCTACCTCCTCCTCCTCCTCCTCCTCCTTCCCTCCTCCTCCTCCTCTCCTCCTCCTCCTCCTCCTCCTCCTCCTCCTCCTCTCTCTCATCTCCTCTCCTCCTTCCTCTCCTCCTCCTCCTCCTCCTCCCTCCCTCCTCCTCCTCCTCCTCCCCTCCTCCTCCTCCTCCCTCCTCCTCCTCCTCGTCCTCCTCCTCCTCGTCCTCCTCCTCTTCCTCCTTCTCCTCCTCCTCCTCCTCACCTTCTCCTGCTCATCCTCCTCCTACTTCCCCCCCTCGTCCTCCTCATCATCATCATCACCATCATCGTCATCAGCATCATTCATCAGCAGCATCATCATCATCATCATCATCATTCATTATCCTCTCTCAGCCTTCTCCTCATCATTATCTCCTCCTCCTCCTCATCCTCCTCCTCCTCATCGTCATCCTCCTCCTCCTCCTCCGCCTCCCCCTCCTCTCCTCCTCCTCCTCCTCCTCCTCCTCCTCCCTCCTCCTCCTCCTCCTCCTCCCTTCCTCCTCCTCCCCTCCTCCCCCCCTCCTCCTCCTCTCCTGTTCCTCCTCTTCCTCCTCCTCCTCCTCCTCCTCCTCCTCCTCCTCCTCCTTATTATTAGTATTATTATTAGTATTATTATTAGTATTATTATTATTATTATTAGTAGTAGTATTAGTCGTATTATTAGTAGTAGTAGTATTATTATTAGTAGTAGTAGTATTATTATTAATATTATTACCATTGTGAATATTATTATTATTATTATTAGTAGTAGTATTAGTATTAGTCGTCTTCTCATCCTCCTCATCCTCCTCATTCTCGTCCTCCTCCTCTTCCTCTTCATCCTAATCGACAGCAGCATCAGCATGGGCATCATCATCATCATCATCATCATCATCAGCAGCAGCATCATCATCATCATCATCAGCATCATCATCATCAGCATCATCATCATCATCAGCATCAGCATCATCGTCATCATCAGCATCAGCAGCATCATCATCATCAGCATCAGCAGCAGCAGCATCAGCATCATATCCGCCTCATCATCAGCAGTAGTCGCATCAGCATATGAGTCGTCAGCATCCTCATCAGCATCATCATCCTCATCATCAGCATCATCATCAACATCATCATCGCATCGGCATCATCATCATCATCATCAGCATCATCATCGTCATCAGCATCATCATCATCATCGTCATCATCATCCGCATCCTCATCCTCATCATCCGCATCCTCCTCCTCCTCCTCGGTATGCTCCTCCTCCTCCTGCCCATCCTCCTCCTCGTCTTCCTCCTCCTCCTCCACCTTCTCCGCCTCAACATCATCCTCATCAGCATCATCATCATCAGCATCATCATCATCAGTATCATCAGCAGCAGCATCATCATTAGCAGCAGCAGCATCAGCAGCCGCGTCCTCCTCCTCCTCGTCCCTCTCCTCCTCATCATCCTCCTCATCGGTGTCCCTCTCCTCCTCATCCTCCTCCTCCTCCTCGTCCTCCTCCGCCTCCTCCTCCTCATCCTCCGCCTCCGCCTCCGCCTCCTCCTATTCCTCCGCCTCCGCCTCAGCCTCCTCCTCCTCCTCCTCGTCCTCCTCCTCCTCTTCCTCCTCCTCCCCCTCCTCCTCCGCGCCTCCTCTTCTCCCCCTCATTCCTCATCATTCTCCTCCTCCTCCTACTCCCCCTCCTTCATCCTCCCCTCTTCCTCTCCTCTCCTCCTCTGCCTCCTCCTCCTCCTCCTTCTCTCCTCCTCATCCTCCTCCTCCTCCGTTTCCTCCTCCGCTTCCTCCTCCTCCGTTTGTCATCCTCCTCCTCCTCCTCCTCCTCCTCCTCCTCTTCCTCCTCTTCTTCCGCCTCCTCCTCCTTTTCATTATCCTCCTCCGCTTCCGCCTCCTCATCCGCCTCATCCTCATCATCATCATCCTCCTCATCATCATCCTCCTCCTCAGCATCATCATCATCATCAGCATCATCAGCATCAGCATCATCATGATCATCATCATCATCATCATCATCATCATCATCAGCAGCAGCAGCAGCATCATCAGCATCACCATCAGCATCAGCATCCTCCTCTTCCTCTTCCGCCTGCTTCTCCTCCTCGTCGGTTTGCGTTTCCGCCTCCTCCTCCTTCTCCTCCTCCGACCTCTTCCTCCGACCTCCTCCTCCTCCTCCTCCACCGCCTCCCCTCCTTCTTCTCATCGGTCTGCTCGTCCTACTCCTCCTCCTCCTCCTCCTCCTCCTCCTCCTTCATCCTCCTCATCCTCCTGCTCCTGCTCCTTCTCGTCATCATCATCGTCATCATCATCATCAGCATCATCATCATCATCATCAGCAGCATCATAATCATCATCAGCATCAGCATCATCATCATCATCATCATCATCATCATCATCATCATCATCATCATCATCATCATCATCATCATCATCATCATTCCTCCTCCCTCCTCCTCCTCCTCCTCCTCATCCTCCTCCTCATCCTCCTCCTCCTCCTCCTCCGCCTCCTCCGCCTCCTATGAAGAGGCCCCTCATGGGTCCCAGCAGGCTGCGACCCAGTCGGAGACCGCCCCTGCTGCTGCTGTCTTGTGGCCTGAGCTGGCCCCTTGGCCCGCCCGGAACCATTCGGTTTTGGAGGCCGCGGTCTTCGACTCGAATGGGTTGGCCGCTGGCTCGATAGCTCTGTGCTCTTCGTGCGGAGCCGTGTGCCAGATAGGAGGCCACCGGGGTAGGTCTGCTCTCGCGTCAGATTGTTTGCACGCGTGCTCCACGGGCCGTGACAGGCAATTGGCTTGGATTTTGCGCGGGGACCATCCGTCTCGCAAAGGCTTCCGTGTCGACAGGCCGACGGTGATTTCGGAGGCATCGAGGGCCTGGCTGGCACCCAAGATGGGGTTGGAGCAGCAGCCTGCCCTCGCACGGCCGCCTGCCGAGCGCTTGACGCCCGCGGCTCCTACTGGGATGGGGGTGGACTTGGCGAGGGGGTTGGCTTTGTTCGGCTTCCCAGATCGGGCTACGGCCGAGGCCCTCGGTGCCCGAGCTGTGGAGCGCAGGAACCGTGCGGCTCGAGCCGAATCCGAAGTGAATTCGTTTGAGTTTTAACCCCGACTTGTGGGGCGTCCTTGGCCCCAGGTGGCGACCTCTTTGAGGCCGATGTGCCGCCTTTGGTTTTTATGCATGCTAGAATGCGATCGCTTCCCCAGCGGGTGCCGGACTCCCCCCTCATTCCTCCTCATTCTCCTCCTCCTCCTCCTCCTCCTCCTCCTCGACCTCCTCCTCCTCCCTCCTCCTCCTCCTCCTCCTCCTCTCCTCTCCTCCTCCTCTTCCTCCTCCTCCTCCCTCTCTCCTCTCTCCTCCCCTCCTCCCCCTCCTCCTCCTCCTCCTCCCTCCTCCTCTCCTCCCTCCTCCGCCTCCTCCTCCTCCTCCTCCTCCTCCTCCACTCCTCCTCCCCCCTCCTCCTCCTCTCCTCCTCCTCCTCCTCCTCCCTCCTCCTCCTCCCCTCCTCCGCCTCCTCCTCCTCCTCCTCCTCCTCCTCCTCCTCCTCCTCCTCCTCCTCCTCCTCTTCTCCTCCTCCTCCTCCTACCTCCTCACCTCCTTCCTCCTCCTCCTCCTCCTCCTCCTCCCTCCTCCTCCTCCTCCTCCTCCTCCTCCTCCTCCTCTCCTCCTCCTCCTCCTCCTCCTTCAACCTCCTCTGCCCCCAGCTGAAGGAGCAGTGCCCTGTCCTCTTCAAGAGGGTCGACGTCGCATACCTGAGGGGCCGCCTGGGCGTCACCGAGGCGGGGGGGACTGGCCGCTGGCCGTCCCGTCAGGCCGTGTCGGCCTCGGCTCTCGTGGATCGCCAAGGCTCGAGCCGCCTCGGCGCCTGAAGGGAGGAGGGAGGAGGGAGGAGGAAGGAAGGACAGAGGGAGGGAGGGAGGAGGAGGAGGGGGAGAGGTGGGAGGAGGAGGAGGAGGAGGAGGAGGAGGAGGAGGAGGAGGAGGAGAGAAGGAGGAGGAGGAGGAGAGGAGGAGGGAAGGAGAAAAGGAGGAGGAGGAGGAGGAGGAGGAGGAGGAGGAGAGGAGAGAGGAGGAGGAGGAGGAGAGGAGGAGGAGGAGGAGAGGAGGAGGAAGGAGGAGGGAGGAGGAGGAGGAGGAGGAGGAGGGAGGAGGAGGAGGAGGAGGAGGAGGAGGAGGAGGAGGGGAGGAGGAGGAAGGAGGAGGAGAGGAGGAGGAGGAGGAGGAGGAGGAGGAGGGGAGGAGGAGGAGGAGGCGGCTCTCGTGGGCTCGCGCCGCCTCGTCGCGGCGGCGACGCCGGTCGCGCGGGGTTCAAGGCGGAGCGCCCTCCTGGAGCCCATAGAGGACAGCCCACGGCGCCAGGCCTCCTAGATGGGGTCGGGGTAGGTGGGGTCGGAGGATCGCGCCGCATCGCCGATGCATCGCCGATAGGGCTCGATGTGGAATCCGATTTTCTCCACGCCGACGGCGCCGATGCATCGCCGACGTCGTCGATGCATCGGCGATGCATTGGTGATGAGGCGCGATCCTCCGACCCCATCTGGGAGGCCTCTAACAGAGGACAGCCCACTGCGCGAGATCCACACGAGATGGTCCAGTCGACAGCCCGCTGGGGACCAATGGCTCACGCGGTGTCAGAAGCAGAGGCCCGCCTCCCTCCGCCCGTCCTCGTCCGTCCTCCTCGTCCGGCCTGCGGCTCTGCCCCGCTCGTCCGTGCAATCGGTTCCGCCAGCGTCCGTCTGGCGATCGGCGGCGGCCGATCCCGGGCGGCACCCTGCGAGGTGCACGGGGCCAGCACCGCCGGCGAGCTGCTGCGTTGCTGCGTGCAGGCGGTGGCGCCCGCCCCGGCGCCGGACCCCACGGCCGCGCTGGCGTGCAGCCTGCAGACGATGGCGGCCGAGGACCCGGCGGTGCTCGCGCAGGACGTCCGCGCCACCGCCGCCGCGGACCCGTGGGGCGCGGTGCAGAGTTGCGCGGAGAGGCTGCAGCAGCTCCAGCAGGGCGCGGCCAGCAGGGGCGGAGAGGCGTTCGGCGCCCAGGCGCGCGCACTGCTCGAGGCGCTGCTGGGCGCCATCTGCGCCGCGCCGCAGCTCTACCAGCCGAAGGGGGGCGTGGCCGATGCGGCCTCCAAGGCCGTCAAGCATCTGCTGCTGAAGACCGGGTCGCTGGGCGGGGAGTCGCAGGGCGCGCTGCCCCCGGCGCACGAGGCCATCCTCGACCACCTGCTGGCGAACCCGCAGCTGCACCGCGTTCTGCAGCAGGTCCTGGAGAGCACCGCCGTGGACGTGCAGGGCTTCCTGCGCAGCCGGCTCGCGGTCGGCAGCCGAGCGGCGGGCGAGATCCTGGCCAGGCACCACCAGGCGCAGGGACGCCCCGCGGATGCCAGCGAGGTCCTCGCACAGCTGGCGGGCCGGCAGGACCCCGCGACCACTCTCGAGGAGCGCGCCCGCCTGCTGCAGCAGGCCCTCGCGGCCGCGCAGCAGGCTGCACCGAGCTCCAAGACCGTGGTGGACCGGCTGTCGGCGCAGCTGAACCTGGCCGTGCGCGTGCAGATGCCCCTCCATAGTGAGATGCTGCTCCTTGCCCGCGACGACCGCGTGGAGTCCCAGTGGCGAGAAGCGGCGGAGAAGCGGGCCAAGGAGCTCCAGCGACTGCTGTCCCTGCAAGAGCTGTACCAGACCGTGGAGTCCTTCGGGCTCTGGCATTTGGCGCTGCTGGTCATCGACCTCGCTTCGGATGTGCAGGATCAGCTCATGATCTCCAACCAATGGCTGAGGGTACTGCTCCCGCCGAACTGCCCATACACTTCGCGCGAGCTGACGCAAGGCGTCTTTCCACTGCTCATGTTGCGGCGCTGTACCGACTTCTTCCTCCATGCGAGCCCGCCTGGGCATCTGCCAACGAGCGCAGTCGCCTGTCCAGATGACTTCCGTGTGCGGGCCTCGCGCTTGTTGGACGAGTTGGCGCGCGCCACCGATGTGCATGGTCCACTGTGGGAGGCGCGTCGTTTGGCCTACATGCTCGAATACTCCAGCTGCCTCTGGCTGCGCGCCACCGAGACCGCCGCAGTGTTGCCGGAGGCCTCCGCCGAGGACTCACGCTGCCAGACATGGGTGGCGCTGGAGCTGCTGCCTGGACGGCCATTCCACATGTCCGCGGCCAGCGTCACGAAACTCTATTCGGACATGCTCGACCTAGCGAACTGGCTTGGCGAGTTCAAGGATATGCTGCCGCCCGATCCGAACGGCTGCTGTCGGCGGCTCAGCGAGGACGAATTGGTCGTTCACAAAGACGTGTTAGGGGTATGTTTCTTCCGTGGTCACGAAACCAATGTATCCCCAGTCATGGGTTCTCTTTGTGTTTTCTCTCTCTCTCTCTCTGTCTCTCTCTCTCTCTCTCTGGCTCTCTCTCTCTCTCTCTCTTTCTCTCTTCCTCTGTTCTGCAGAGCGGTACCAGGACAAGCTACAAGATTCAGGCAACCTAGAAGGGAAAGTAATGCACTGTCTGCAAGTACGCTCTTGAGACGTAATCGACGAACTGAGGGCAAGCGAACCGCACGCTGGTAGCAAATAACAGCAAGTCTAGAGAGAATCGAAACATCGAACAGCCAGCATATTGCTGTCTATTACCAAGCCGAAATAAAGATCAGGACCTGCTAGAGGCGAGCTGAACACAAGATGTGGGCAAGCTAAATGGTAATACACGGGCAAGTTTACGAGGGTTGCATGTCCAGTTCAAGGCAAGCGTATAATTTAAAGGCGAGCCAAATGCAGTTTGAAGGTTAGGTAGTTAAAGTAAGCTACAGTCAGGACGAGTGTTACAAGTTAAAAGTATCCCGACAAAGCAACCTAACAGCGATGTGTAGAAGCATATCTGGAAGCATTCCCCTTAAGATTTAGGTGAGAATCCAGTTGTAGAATTCTGCTGTTCTCGCAGTCGCAGCCTCAGCCTGCCTCGGCCTGCCTCGGCCTCAGCCTCAGCCTGCCTCGGCCTCAGCCTCAGCCTCAGCCTGCCTCAGCCTCAGCCTCAGCCTGCCTCAGCCTCAGCCTGCATCAGCCTCAGCCTCAGCCTGCCTCAGCATCAGCCTGCCTCAGCCTCAGCCTGCCTCAGCCTCAGCCTCAGCCTGCTTCAGCCTCAGCCTCAGCTGCCTCAGCCTCGGCCTCAGCCTGCAGCCTCAGCCTGCATCAGCCTCAGCCTCAGCCTGCCTCAGCCTCAGCCTGCAGCCTCAGCCTCAGCCTCAGCCTGCCTCATCAGCCTGCCTCAGCCTCAGCCTCAGCCTGATCAGCCTCAGCCTCAGCCTCAGCCTCAGCCGCTCAGGCCGCAAATTGCCTCAGCCTCAGCCTTCAGCCTCAGCCTGCCTCAGCCCTCAGCTGCACAGTGTCTCAGCCTCAGCCTCAGCCTCAGCTTGCCTCGGCTTGCCTCAGCCTCAGCCTCAGCCTGCCTCGGCTTGCCTCAGCCTCAGCCTCAGCCTGCCTCGGCCTCAGCCTGCCTCGGCCTCAGCCTCAGCTGCCTCGGCCTCAGCTCAGCCGTTCTTGCCTCAGCCGCAAGCGCAACCAGCGCAGCCTGCCCGCATAAGAGCAACCTCAGCCAAGCTCAAGCCTCAGCGTCAGCCTCTCAGCTCAGCCTCATCAGCCTCAGCCTTCAGATCGGCTGCCTCAGCCTCAGCCTCTAGCCGAAAAATGCCTAATCCTCTCAGCACAGCCTCAGCCTCAGCCTGCCTCTGCCTTACCCTCCCAGCCTCAGCATCAGCCTCCCTGGGCTTGTCCTCCCTGGGCTTGCTCGCCTCAGCCTCAGGCCTGCCTCGGCCTCAGCCTCAGCCTCCGCTGCCACAGCCTCAGCATCAGCCTGCCCACCTCAGCCTGCCACAGGCCTCAGCCTGCGCCTGCCTCAGCCGCAGCTTGCCTCAGCCTCAGCCACAGCCTCAGCCTCAGCCTCAGCCTGCCTCAGCTTCAGCCTCAGCCTCAGCCTGCCTCGGCTTGCCTCAGCCTCAGCCTCAGCCTGCCTCGGCATCAGCCTCAGCCTCAGCCTGCCTCAGCCTCAGCGTCAGCCTCTCAGCCTCAGCCTGCATCAGCCTCAGCCTCAGCCTCAGCCTGCCTCAGGCTCAGTCTCAGCCTGCCTCAGCCTCAGCCTGCCTCAGCCTCAGCCTCACAGTTGGCTCCGGGCAATCAAAATGTAGCCTGGGAATGGTGTTTTGGGAACACGAAGACACGAAGTGGCCTACAGTTGGCTCCGGGCATTCAAAATGTGGCCCGGGAATGGTGTTCTGGGAACTCGAAGAGCACGAAGTGGCCTACAGTTGGCTCCGGGCATCCAAAATGTGGCCCGGGAATGGAGTTCTGGGAAGTCGAAGAGCACGAAGTGGCCTACAGTTGGCTCCGGGCATCCAAAATGTGGCCCGGGAATGGAGTTTTGGGAAGTCGAAGAGCACGAAGTGGCTTACAGTTGGCTCCGGGCATTCAAAATGTGGCCCGGGAATGGAGTTCTGAGAGCGCCAAGAGCGATTTTGCGAGGATGTCTAAGGCGATTTGGGTGGCGGCGGCAGAGCGCCGCCGGATCCCGCCCAGATTCCCTTGGAGAGTCATGATGTTCTTGTGACCCTACTAGAAACCTATCAGTCTTCGCTGTTAGGTAACGAAGTAAGTTGCAAGAGAAAAGCCAGGTAATTATAAACCCACACGAAAGCCGACGAATGGTAAGCAGTAGTGATGCGAAGAGCAAACATAAATCAAGTAAGACGTAAGCTAAAGGCAAGAGGAGTTGACGTTAAACGCAATATGAGGCCAGCGACGAGCAAGCCACAAGTAAGGTGGACACAAATAAGGCATGGCAGTTCATTGGCAGGTTGAAATCGGAATATCGCATGCCGAAGGAAAGGAAGATGCAAGCGAAAGACACGCTAAAGGAGAACTGAAAGCATGCGAGTCACAGTCAAGCTGATAGAAAACTCACCAGGTAAGCTGAAGGCACAGCGATGATTCGCCAATGGCCAGCAAGAAGCAATCGATAAGCGCACGCGAAGAGCAAGGCAACAGCGGGCGAAACGCAGGCGGCTGTGCTCCTTGGGGAGCCGTGCGCGGAGTCGTTGAGGAACCCGGGGGGGGGGCCTTGCCATCGGGCCCCTCCTGCGCACGCGGAACTCCACACATGCGGCACAAGGAGGTGCACTGCCGACGGCTCCGCGAGGACCCCCCCCCCCTCAGGAATCGACCCCCCCCGGACCTGCCCTTTTTTGGTGCGCCCTTGGGGCCAGGGCTTCGAGAGGCGGCCCCGGCCGTGGCCACGAGGGGCCCCCCCAGATGACGCACCCCGAGAAGCCAGAGGGCCGCCCAGAGGGCCTCGAGCCTCGAGCCTCGAGGACGAGATGTCCGTCCACCTGGGCGGAGTGCTGCTCGCCGCGGTGCGCGCCGCCTGCGGTGGCGCGCCCTCGCTGGAGCGCCTCGAGGCCGGCGCCCGCGGGGCGGCCCGTGCGGCCCTGGAGCGCCTTCGGTCCCGCCTGCCCGCGGTGCGGGGCCGCGAGGCGCTGCGGAGCGCCGCGCAGCGGCTGCTGCGGGAGGTCGAGCCGCTCGTCCAGGGCTGAGCTGCGGGCGCCGTGAGCCAGGCTTGGAGCCGGGCGCCGGGGGACCGAGAGGCGGCGGGGCGCGGATCCTGGCCAGCAGGAGGGGGGGGGGGGCGAGGCCACCGCGCCGCCACGGCCGGACGCGGCTCGAAGGACGGGTCCGTGTCGGCCATGGGAGGGGTCTGGGGGCCAGATTTGAGCGCAGGTGCCTTCTTGACCGATTCTCACTGGGCGCATCCAGCTCAGACCCCCCACCCGCCTCCAAATCCAGACCGCCCCGCTGGTGCCGGACCCCGATGGGGTCGGAGGGTTGCACCACATCGCCGATGCATCGGCGATGAGGGTTGCGCCACATCGCCGATGCATCGGCGATGGGCCGCGACCCAGAGCCACATGCATCGCCGGTGCATCGCCGATACGGTGCGATCCTCCGATAACGTGTTCTGTGCAACCTCATCTCGGCGGCGTTTTTTGTTCAGTTTGACCACCCAGAGCAGATGTTTCGGAAACCACAGAACGGCATGAGCATAAATTATCGGAGGTCTGCGTGAATTCCTGGGGTCGGTGGTTCCGCGCCGCCCCTGGCACGCTTCGGGCGCCAGGGGAGGGGGCCTAGCGCCGATCCAAAAAATCTGCTCGGACCTCCGAAAACTTATACTATGCAGTCGTTTGGTCGTCTGGTATTGTGATGCCGAGCGGACAACACACACACACACACACACTCACACTCACACACGTACCCTTAGGGGGGGGGGGGGGCTGAGGGGGCCATGGGTGCGTGTTGTCGGATGGGGCTCCCCGCTCCAACGGGAGCCTCCCCCCCCGGTCCGTCAGCCCGCACCCATACCCACAGCCAGCCCTCCTTCCTCCGACACCCTCATTGGTACCCATCGGTCGTTGAAAGTAGGTATTTCTGGATTCCCAGATTCCAATCTATTTTCAGCGCCTTCCTACTTCAAGAGTCGAGTGGTTTTCCCTCTTCCTTCCTCTTCAGTAGGCGTGCGGAAACCCAATCTATTTCCGACGCCTTCCTACTTCATGTTTCTACCTACTTCTTCCGACCGATGGGTATGGGTGTGTGTGTGTGCTGTTCGTTCGTCATTGTGATGAGATGATTCGTCCCCGCTCTGCAAATGGGCCCCGGCAGCCGGAGCCATACGGGGGGGCGCTGGTCGTAAAGGGCGGGGAGACGCGCAGCAAAGCGCTGTATTCGCCGCCTCGCGTTGCTGCGGATGCGCCTCGCGCAGTAGCTGCGGCATAATAGGCTGGAGACGTGATCCCAGGGCCGCGGCCCCAAACTGTTCGAACCTCTCTGCGCTCGCCTAAGAAAAGTGCGCGCCTCCGGTCTGCGCCCTGGGCCTGTCGAGATGGCAGCACGAATGAAGCATGCAGGTGAAGATTGTCTTTTAGCATTGAACACGAAGGTGCAACTTAGCAGTAGAACCTGGATCATTGAGGCGATGACGGTTCTATGTGCACACCTGCACCCATATCTAAGGTCTACACGTGCATGTATATATATATATGGATACATATATATATATATATATATATACATACGCATGTATGCATTAATATGCATGTGCATGTATATCAGCATATCACAGATATCGAGAAATTGAATAAGGACGTGCATATTTATACCCAGCACAAGGGGCCTGCGGCGCCCTGTGCCAGTTGCCTCCATCATCCGCGGGGGGGGCTGGGACCCTTCGGAGGAGCGCCCCCGTCCTGGGGAAGCTGCGGGATCCCCAAGGCGACCGAGGGAGCCTCGGGGTGGGCCAAGGTGGCCCTGGGATGGGCCAAGAGAGCCCGACGGAAGCCGAGGAGGCTCCCGACCTGCACTGGTTCTGGGCAAGCAGAGGCCATTCAGCACCCGTAGGTTATGCAAGAATCTGCCGTGACCACGCTGCCGGTCTCAAGAGCGTCCTAGACGGCTTCAGATGCACACATGACCACACCAAGGCGGTCAAAAAGGGCCCCACGAGGCTCTCGGCGTGCCCAAATGAGCTCCAAGAAGGCTCACGAGGGCCAATGAGGGCTCCAAAATGGCCTCGGCAGAAGAATCTCGGGGGGGGGCTCTGGGAAATCCAAGACTCCTCCAAGATGGCCCCACGAAACCTCCAACCCATAGATTTTCTGCAAGATCTTACCTTTCTCGCGTCTCCGGTCTCCAGGGCGTCCAAGACGGTTCAAGAGGCCCCTGATCGCCCAGAGGCGGCCCAAAAGAGCCCCAGGAGCGCTTTCAGCGAACCAAAACCGGGCTCCCAAGGTTCACGAGAGCCCGCAAATAATTCCAAACCGAGCCCGAAAGATTCTCGGAGGGACTCTGGGCCACCCAGTGCGCCTCCAAGACGGCCAGGAGGGCGTCAAGATCGTCCACGACGTCGTCAAGATGGTTCAGCATGGCCCCAAGAATGCCGAAGAGGTTGCCAACATGCCAGGAAGTGCATTCGCATTGCATGACGTTGTTTTGAAATGCATTCGTATTGACGGTACTCCCGAATGAACTTGCGTTACGTTTCTTTGTTTTCCCGTGCCTTGGGCCTGGTCATCGCTTGCTGGGCGTTACCTTGCATGTCGAGGCACTGTCACTGCTTCCGTTTTCCATTCATATGGTTTGTGCTACGCTGCCAACGCAGCAGGTTGCATTCATTTGAACGAGTTGCGCCGATGCGCATTGTTTCGCATTCAGCTTGCTTGTGTGTACCCATGTCGGTAGTACGTATCTTTTCGGTCCGCGTTCGTCCTACTGCATCGTTTCATGTGGAGCCATGTGTGGGTACATGCATGCGTGCAGCTATGAGTATGCCAACGGCTGGGGCTTGCTAGAATCCAAGCGCGTGCGAAGCGCGCGCACTCATACTGGTGTATGAATGTGAGTTTGCGCGTATATGTATGTATCGAAGACATGTATGGCGAACCATCGCCGCCTTCTGCCTTTGGGAAACACCCATGCGGCCAAACGTTGGGCCAAAGCCTGACCAAGCTACTAGACTATGTGCTCCCCCAGCCGTTGTGGAACCCCTTGGGGGGAACACTGGGAAGAGGAAGAGAAAGGAGCGACAGAGGGAGGAGGAGGAGGAGGAGGACGATTGGGAGGAACAGGAAGAGGAGGCCTACGGAGGCCGCCATGGGGCTTCCAGGGGGCTTCGGAGGCTCCCGGGGGGCATCTGCGGGGACTCCCGGGGCCCTCGGGGCCTCTCGGGGACCCATTGGCCTTCGGAGGCCGCCTTGGGGTCCTCTTAGGGCAGTCGTGGGTCTCTCTTCGGGCGCTTCCTGGGCCGCGTTAGAGGTCGGTGGGGCCGTCTTGGGACCGCCGTGCGGGCCTCTGGGGCCAGCTTGGGGTCCCCTTGGGCCGTCTTGCGGGCGTGTCAGGGGCCTCGTGGACCATGTTGG